TAAACTCTCGGATCCCGGCGGGCCTCGAGCGCGTGGGCCGGGGCGGGCGACACTCCCCGCCACCTCGGCCATCTCGCCCGGCGCGGAACTCGGGGTGGAGGAGGCGGCGGGCCCAGGAGCTCCCCGAGCCAACTTCTGCCGGGCCGAACCACGGGCTAGCGCAACTGAACCCCAAGAACCGGGAACCCGCGGCCTGGTCTGCGAGCGCGCCCTCGGAGCAACCACCCAGGCCTCCCCGTATCCCGTGCTGGGGCTGCAGCCGTCCGATGGGCCAGTGGCCCACGCAGCCCAGGTCGTCTTTCTTTTTTTTTTTTTTTTAATTCATTTTATTTATTTATTAATTTATTTTTGGCTGTATTGGGCCTTCGTTGCTGCGCGCGGGCTTTTCTCTAGTTTCGGCGAGCGGTGCGCGATCTTCTCCCTGCGGTGGCTTCTCTTGTTGCGGAGCAGGGTCTCTAGGCGCGCGGGCTTCAGTAGTTGCAGCACACGGGCTCAGTAGTTGTAGCTCGCGGCCTCAGTAGTTGTGGGGCACGGGCTTAATTGCTCCGCGGCATGTGGGATCTTCCCGGACCAGGGCCCGAACCCGTGTCCCCTGCATTGGCAGGCGGATTCTTAACCACTGCGCCATCAGGGAAGCCCCCAGGTCGTCTTTCTAATAAATCCTCCTGATGGCAGAAACAGTGCTTGGTGAGTGCCAGGTACTGAGCTATGAGCTTTACCTGGGTGATCTCATTTAATCCCCAGTGATACTGTCATATAGGTGGTTTTCTTACCGTTTACAGAATGGTAAGCTGAGATGAAGTAACTAGCCCTGGACAGCACAGGAATGACAGCAAAGAGATTGGAATCCAAGTGGTCATTTTCCAGAGCCCATCACTTTTTTTTTTAATCTTTCTTGCTAGTTTTTCAGTTTTTCTAAAATCAGCAAAGTGGTTTAGTCATACATGTATATACGTTCTTTTTTAATCTTCTTTTCTATTACGGGTTTATCACAGGAAATTGTATATATAATGCCCTGTGCTCTACAGTAGGACCTTGTTGTTTATCCGTCCTGTGTATAATAGTTTGCTTCTGCTGACCCCAAACTCCCAGTCCTTCCCTCCCCCGCCCCGCACAGTCACAAGTCTGTTTTCTATGCCTGTGACTCTGTTTCTGTTCGTATTTTTTTTTTGTTTTTTTTTTTTTTTTTTTTTTTTTTTTTTTGGCCACGCGTGACTTCTGGGATCTTAGTTCCCTGACCAGGGATCGAACCCAGGCCCCAGCAGTGAAAGCACAGAGTCTTAACGACTGGACCGCCAGGGAAGTCCCATTTGTGTCATATTTTAGATGCCACATATAGGTGATATCACACGTATTTGTCTTTCTTTTTCTGACTTAGTTTACTTAGTATGACAATCTCTAGGTCCATCCAAGTTGCTGCCAATGGCATTATTTCATTCTTTTTTTAAAATTTTAATAATACATTTTATTTAACCCAATATTTCTAAAATACTACTATTTCACCATGTAATAATCAGTGTAAAACTATTAATGAGGTATTTTACATTTTTTTACACAAAGTCTTTGAAATCCAGTGTGTATTTTATACTTAAAGCGCAGCTTAATTCAGACTGGCCACAGTTGAAGTGCTCAATAGCTACATGTGGCTAGTGGCTACCATTCTGGACAGCAGTTAATTTAAGGTGTGAGTTCTATACACAGTTATAATGTCAGACAAGTAGAGGTGTTTCCAACTGTACCCATGGACAAATTGATAGTGAATTCATGTTTGGAATATTAATTGTATAGCATGTGGACATGGAAAATTTATTCTTGAATTATGAATGAGTGGTTTAAGTGAACCCGATTATTGCATATTATTACATGCAGCTACTGAAATAGGCACTTCCACATATTACCACATTTAATCCTTTCAAAAAACACCTGGTAGGGCTTCCCTGGTGGCGCAGTGGTTGAGAGTCCGCCTGCCGATGCAGGGGACACGGGTTCGTGCCCCGGTCCGGGAGGATCCCACATGCCGCGGAGCGGCTGGGCCCGTGAGCCATGGCCGCTGAGCCTGCGTGTCCGGAACCTGTGCTCCGCAACGGGAGAGGCCACAACAGTGAGAGGCCCGCGTACAGCAAGAAAAAAAAACAAAAAAAAAACACCTGGTAAAGGATGGTTATCGAGATTGAAGCAGTAGGCCTGTGCCCAGTATCCACTTCAGCCTTCTTCTAGTTTGCCTTTTTCTGAAAGGCAGAGAGTGGAACGCTGAATACTGTGTTTCCCAGACTCCCGTGAAACTAGGGTTCTCACTGTGATTTACATTCAGCCATTCAGATACACATCCGTGAGATTTGAAGGCTAGAAGTGAGGCAGAGACTGCATTTGGGGGGGGTGCATTTTTGCCATTTCTACAGGCGCAGGAACCGATTTTTTGGCAGCAGAATTAAAGATACATGCCATTGTCCAGTCTCTACCTGTGGATATTGAAAAGCAGGGTCCTGGGCATCCATGTTGCTGCGGCAGATCAGAGCAAATACAGCATGGCCCTGGAGTCAGTGGCAGTAGTGGCAGTGTCTTTCTAATTAAGTGGACTTTTGAAAGTTGTGGTTTCCCAAAGATAGCCATAAATTCTGTGCATCCTAGAACATTCTGCATCCTAATGGGGTCCTCTGGTGGTCTTTGAGCAGTTGTCTTCCGGTTCCAGTCCCATCCTTCCAACTCTGGGGTGCTGGAGCTGGGGCTGCTCACTGCGTCTCCACTTTGCCATCTGGCACCCGCATAGGTTCCACCAATAGGAGGTAATAGAGGCTTGTCTTGGGTGTCCACAAGATGAGTAGATCTCCACACCTGCCCACCAGGATCTGGAAAGTTTATATAGAGGCCTTAACGGGTTCATTCGCATATGTAGTGCAAATGGTCTCAGTAACACATTGCTCTCTCCAGGCAGCATCCTTGAAAATGTATTTCATTCTTTTTTTATGGCTGAGTAATAGTCCATTGTATATACGTACCACATCTTTATCCATTCATCTGTCAGTGGATATTTAGGTTGCTTCCATATCTTGGCTATTGTAAATAGTGCTGCTATGAACATGGGGGAGGAGGTGTGTGTATCCTTTTTAATTATAGTTTTGCCTGGATATATGCCCAGGAGTGGGATTGCTGGATCATATGGTAGTTCTATTTTTAGTTTTCTGAGGAACCTCCATACTGTTCTTCGTAGTGGCTGAGCCAACTTACATTCTTACTAACAGTGTAGGACGTTTCCCTTTTTTCCACACCCTCTCTAGCATTTGTTATTGATGGCCATTCTGATGGGTGTGAGGTGGTACCTTGTTGTAGTTTTGATTTGCATTTCTCTAATAATTATCGATGTTGAGCACCTTTACATGTGCCTATTGGCCATTTGTTTTCTTCTTTGGAGTAACGTCTATTTAGGTCTTCTGTCCTTTTTGTTTGTTTGTTTGTTTTTTTGCGGTACGCGGGCCTCTCACTTTTCTGGCCTCTCCCATTGCGGAGCGCAGGCTCCGGACGCACAGGCTCAGCGGCCATGGCTCACGGGCCCAGCCGCTCCGCGGCATGTGGGATCTTCCCGGACAGGGGCGCGAACCCATGTCCCCTGCATCGGCAGGCGGACTCTCAACCACTGCACCACCAGGGAAGCCCTTCTGTCCTTTTTTCAATTGGGTTGTTTGGTTTTTTGTTGTTGAGTTGTATGAGCTGTTTGTATATTTTGCGAATTAAGCCCTGTCAGTCACATCGTTTGCAAATGTTTTCAGCCAGTCCGTAGGTTGTCTTTTCGTTTTGTTTATGGTTTCCTTTGCTGTGTAAAAGCTTGTAAGTTTGATTAGGTTCTATTTGTTTATTTTTGCTTTATTTCTGTTGCCTTGGGAGACTGACCTAAGAAAACACTGGTGCCATTTATGTCAGAGAATGTTTTGCCTGCGATCTCTTCTAGGAGTTTTAGAGTGTCATGTCTTCTGTATAAGTCTTTAAGCCATTTTGAGTTTATTTTTGTGTATGGTGTGAGGGTGTGTGCTAACTTCATTGATTTACATGCAGCTGCCCAGCTTTCCCAGCACTGCTTGCTGAAGAGACAGTCTTTTTCCTATTGTATATTCTTGCCTCTTTTGTCGAAGATTAATTGACCATAGGTGTGTGGGTTTATTTTTGGCAGAGCCCATCCCTCTTAACAAAGATTTGTACTGAAGCGCTCAAAAGTGGCAAGGCACAAGTGTTCAGAAACACCATAGCATCAAACCACAGTTTGCTGTGTCCTGACACAGTTTGAATTCTTTGTCTTTTTTGCAGTGTTTTAACTCAAATGGGTGATGAAAAGGACTCTTGGAAAGTGAAAACTTTAGATGAAATTCTTCAGGAAAAGAAACGACGGAAGGAACAAGAGGAGAAAGCAGAGATAAAACGCTTAAAAAATGTAAGCCATGTTTTTTAAGTATGTTTTCTTTAAAGGAGACTTAATCTCTTTGCCCTCATTTTTCCATTAGAACAACGCTTCTTTGGTGAAGTTCTTTTGTACATTCCACATGTCGCAGGTGAGCCTGAAATCTATTCTAAAAATTAACAGAAACATTCAGATACTCAGTTTACATCGACAGCAGATCGATAACATACTAAAGCTGCATATAGATGACCACAGCTACATGGAAAATAAAGTATTTTGAACCTAAAATCACTAGTGCGGTTGGGCTTATTTTTCTCACTTCATCATTATATTTATGACACCATTTCCAAGTATTTTTAGTATAGCAAGAAGCTGCCTTGAAATTAGTATTATTGTTTTACACCTTCTTGGTTTGCCTAATAACATAGAAAAACTTTAGTAATTTGATAAAAGGGGCATTGAAAGAAATTCCTCTTCTGATAAGTTTAGCAGCAGACCTTTCTTACATATTTATGAGTACTTTTTGAGATACTGTAAAGTATTTGGTGTATAAAATATGCTTTAAGGCTCAGTTCTGGCTAATATAAACAGCTAACATACTTGTCACAGAGTCTAATGTCCCCTGTCATATATGCTGGTGTTAAATTTCTGAGGTTCTGGGTTACAGAGTTATACGAAATTCTGATGTCACGGGATTTGAATGAAAGTAGTTTATATTTTATAACATTGGTCCACTCAAAGTGTGTATGAAAGTTTGTTTTCGGTTAGTGGCAAGGTTTGAGTATTATGAAAAATAGGCTTATCTGTAAGGAAAATTGCTTTCTCCTTGCTTCTTAGTCTGATGACCGGGATTCCAAGCGGGATTCCCTGGAGGAGGGGGAGCTGAGGGACCACCGCATGGAGATAACGATAAGGAACTCACCGTATAGAAGAGAGGGCTCCATGGAGGACAGGTGAGAGGGCCGTGGAGCTGGAGGAGCCCAGTGGCTACAGGTGCGCTCCCCTGAGGAGGCAGGCTGAGCCCATGACAGGGCCGTGGTCCTGGCTGGCCCTTCTCAGTGTTATTTTGGAAGTTTGAGGTCATGACCTGAGGTTTACCTCTAGACTGAAATGACTCTTGTGTGGTGTCAGTTACCAGCTCTCCCCTCTTCTTAGGAAAAGCCTGAGCGTGTGTTCCTTTCTTTGTGATCATTCTGCAGTGAAGTGAACACCATTCACATGGTACATTTAAAGAATTCTGCTGTATGTTTGTGATGATTTCTATAATTACTGTCTAAAATTATCTACAAATAAACCAAAGTAGCTGCTGAAAGATACTTGGAGCGAGGCCTTGAAGCAGAAACGGTCCTACCGAGGTCTGTATGTTCTGACGTTTCTTCCCGTGCTGTGCTTTCTCCTCACTTGTTTTCTTCTCATGTCCATCATCAAGCAGTTAAAAACAACATAACCAGAAATTAAGGCAAAAAGGCATAGGGTGTGAATTCTTCCAAGATTTTGGTTATATAATCAGTTGAAAATATTGTCAAATGACCTTTTGAGATCATTAAGTTTGATTAAAATTGTGGGACCTTTTTTAACAAGTTTATTTTGGTGTAAATGACAGACTGCACAGATTTCAGGTGTGTGGTTTGATACGTTGTTATATACCTGTAAACTATCCCCACGACCAAGATCATGAATACCCTAAAGGTTCCTCAGAGAGGCCTTTCTGTTCCGTGTTTCACATTGATTCCCCACTTAACACTTTCCATCTGAATCTGTATTTAATATACAGTTTGGGCTTAGGTTTCATAATGAACATCATCTTTTAGCTGGTGGTTGAGGTTCACCTGTCTGTTCTGAACCCGTCATCTCTCTGGGTTGAAGACACTCCACGATACCCCAGTGCTCCTCACATTACTTTCTCAGGCGTGATGTAATGCTGTGGTGTCTTATTTCAGAGGAGAGGAAGATGATTCTTTGGCTATCAAACCACCCCAGCAAATGTCTCGGAAAGAAAAAGCTCATCACAGGAAAGACGAAAAGAGAAAAGAGAAACGTAGGCACCGTAGTCATTCCGCAGAAGGGGGTACAGAGCATTTGTTTTCTTTTGTATTGTGTTCAGATGCGGTCTCGTTCCTATTTCATGATCTGCCTTCTCCAAAGCACAGTTGAAAGCGAAGAGAATAAAATTTTAGCTAACAACATAAATTTATTGTAGATCATTCTGAATAGATACATTGTTTTCCTTCTGTGTTTTCTTCTGTGTGTTTCCCCCTCATTGCATTGTTCTGGGGTAGTTTGTCTACCTACAGAATTGTCTCAATTCAACGAGGGAAAACACAGTCTTCAATGCTAAATTGCTTTAACTAAGAAACAGATGCTTGATAAAACTGAAATAATGGGTTTTATCTCATACCAGTATTAAAGAGCTTCTTAGGGGTGTTGGGAAAACTGGGCCTGGGGCCTGATATAAATCTCATTGTTAAACTCAGTTGCCTAACGTGGTGTATAACGTGATGTAGAAACTAAAAGGAGATAAGCTTTGTCCTGTATCCTTTACAAGTGGTGATTTCTTTTTAAATCGTGAAACTAATACAGTCTAATCACAGTTTATTTAATACAGAAAATTACAAAGAAAGATGGAGATCACAGTTCTATTCAGTGATAATCACATTATTTTTGTTTTTTTCTTAACTGGAGGCTTACTGCATAGAGTTTTATATTTTCATCCTCTTTTTTTTTTTTTTTAACAGAAAGTCATGATCGTTTCTCCAAGTCAATGATTAGATATGTTTTCTTTTCTTCACTGGGTATTCTCAAGTTGAGCTTCTGGAGGTCACGTTTCTTGGTGTGACACATCCCGTTTGCCCCTAGGGAAGCACGCCCGGGGGAAGGAGAAGGAGAGAGAGCACGAGCGCCGCAAACGGCACCGAGAGGAGCAGGACAAGGCCCGGCGGGAGTGGGAGCGACAGAAGCGCAGGGAGCTGGCGCGGGAGCACTCCCGGAGGGAGAGGTGAGGCCAGCGGCCCCGGCGGGCGGTGCCTCCGCGCCCGCCTGTGACACAGGCCTGCAGGGAGGGGTGCTGCTGGACGGAGCCGGGAGTCCAAGAGTCCAAGAGGAATCAAGAGGCGAGGAGCGGAGGTTTGGGCCGGACATACAGCCGTAGGGGAAGGAGAGGGAGGAGGGAGGGGTGGCGGGTGGCTGGAGGAGGGGAGCGGCTGTCCAGGGCCGGGGGGGGGCATTCTGGGGGCGGCCCGCCCCCCCACGCGGGGC